AGAATTAGACCTTTCTTTTGGTCTAAGAAATGATAGATTAGAATATATCAATTGGATACTGATATGTATCAATGTATGATTATATAGATATCAAGCACGAACAAGTTCAGGGACGACTATCAAGTTAAGATTCGATCGAAAGAAAGGAATCATAAAATGGGATTGGAACTTAGTGAGGCCAAGGTGAGTGTAATTTAATTTATGCTTATGTTATAGAACGAACATTGGCTCGCGATGAGCCAGTGATGAAGTTTCTATGGTAAGAAGTAACTCTTAAAATGCTATGATATGTTTGACATGTTGTTCTATGTGTTGTGTGATATATATATATATATATATATGAACATAAGTAAACAAGACATGACATATGTGCTTATATAAGAACATGAGAAATAAAATAAGCTATGTGATAAGGATACAGAGAATGAAATTAATGACATGAAATGTATGTATTCTTGATTATATAAGTGGATATGTTCTTGTAAATGATATGTGGCTTATGTAAATAAATGGAAATGTGAGATAAAATAATTAGTATTTACTAATAAGGTAAAAGGAGATTATATGAACAGATACTATTGATAGGCATAAGACTATATGTATATCTTTTAATGTAATAAAGTGAAACAAGTCAAATGATATTGAAGTATGTGAATATAATATAGGTGATATGAGATTATGTGATATATGTTACATTATATGACATGCGATTTTACATGAACAAATGAGAAATGGTATAAGCCATATGAAACGATCTACGTGAATACATGCATTTGAGATACATGTGATATGATATGATATCTATGGTTACACATACATGTGGTATGTGACAGAAGAGAAAGAATAAGTGATATGAAATGTTACAAATGATAATGCTCATGTTATATAATATGAGAGTTAGTGGTATAGTTGGCATGCCAAGAGTCGAGGGTTTACCTATGTTCTACAGAACATATGGACAGAATTACCTATGTCTTTCGAGACATATAGACAGTATACCTATGTTCTAAGGAACATATGGACAGTTTACCTAGGTTCTTCGGGACCTATGGACAGTTACCAAGGTTCTTTATGGCCTCTAGATAGGTCCTTCGGGATAGTTATACGAGCTGTGGTGACAACATAGTGGTGCACAACCTCAATGTACTCAAATACCTTAAGTTCTCAAAAGTATACATGGGCTAATACATGTGAATTTAAGAGAGTAAATAAATCAATTGATGTGATACTATGTGTACTATGTTGTGAAATGATGTATGTGCTTCATGATATGTATAGAGATGTTCAGTATATGATTATAAGACATAAATGATAAGAATATGGATAGTGGAATAAGGTTAGTAATGGAAATAGTGTGAGATATGTATATGTGTATATTACATTGTATGTAATGTTATATTGTTTTGGTATGACATCATGAGATGATGTGTTCCTGCATGTTTAAATAATTAGAGTTCTTTTATAAATGTAATGCCTCACTAAGTCATAGACTTAGAGTGTGATTGTTTAACACGTAGGTTACAGAAGCGATAAGAGAAGCGAAGAAGAGCAAGACAGGTTAGCATCTCCCTTACAAACTTTCAGTTCAGAAAATAGATGATTTAAATGTATTTGGTTATTTTGAATATAGTTGGCATGTACTAATTGATTGAGTTGAATATGCTCTGAATGGTTTGTAAAACAATTTGATAGTATTAATTACTGTAAAGTAATTATTTTCTCAAATGAGGAAATTAAGATTTCAGTGGCTTTGTAAAGAACAGAGTTTTGAAAAGTCAATGTGACACCTCAGACTCGGATCCGGGTCGGATACGGGTTGGGGGTGTTACAGACTATGCATGAGATTTGGATAAAAGCAAATCTACTATATGATATGTGTTCAAAGTTGTTGGTGTAACTGTAAGCTGGGTTTCAAAATTGCAGTCAGTTGTGGCTACGTCCACAACAGAGGCAGAATGTGTAGCAGCTACACAAGCTAGTAAAGAAGCAATCTGGTTGAAGATACTATTGGAGGAGCTTGGGCACAATCAAGAGTATGTCTCTCTGTTTTGTGACAGTCAAAGCGCCTTGCATTTAGCAAGGAATCCAACATTTCATTCAAGGACAAAGCACATACGAGTTCAATACCATTTCATTCGTGAAAAGGTGGAAGAATGAACAGTAGATATGCAGAAAATCCATAGCAAAGATAACATAGCAGATTTCATGATGAAGGCGATCAACGCTGATAAATTTACTTGGTGTCGATCCTCTTGTGGCCTGTCAAAGACGTAAGCAACATGAAGGTACAAGGTAGAAAGAATGGTATGAAGATATGATTGTTTCAATCAAATCTTCAAGTGAGAGATTGTTGACTATGCACTGAAAAATTTAGGGGGCTGCAACAATTGTCAAAAGTTGCAGCTAAGTGGTTAAAAAAATTGTAAAATCACAATTTAGTTATTGTACTTTAGGGTATTTATAAGATTAGTCCTTAAGCTTCAACTATAAATACCCTAGCTCATTTAACTTCAAAACCATCCCAAATCATTCTAGTTTTCTCTCAACACTAGAGAATTTAGAGAGTTCCTTGATAGTTGTTTTATCCTTTTTATCAAGAGAGAATTATCATTGTTTTCTCCTTGGTAGATCGAGAGAGGTTATAATTCATATTTTCTCATAGTAAAATTCATCTACCGTTGCCCGTGGTTTTTACCCTATATTATTTAGGAGTTTTCTACGTAAATTTTGTGTCTTCTTTATCTTTATTTTTATTTTCTTAAATTATCAGTTGCGATTTTACTCTATCTGATAGTCGTCTTCTGCAACAGTAAAAACGGTAGTGTCTCTGCTATAATCGACGATGTCGTAACCGGTTTTCGTCCGGGTATGAAATATTATACTTGGCTGAAAAATTTTATGTGAATAAATGGTTTTGAAAATAATTTGAGAGTCGCCATCGGCCTTTTGGGTCAGGTAGGTCAAATACCTAAAAATTTTTTTTAAAAAGAGTTTTAAGAAAACACCAATAAAAAATGAACTGATCTGCGTTTATAACCAAAAATTCGTTCTTTTTAATAATAAAAAGGAATTCGTGGTCGATTACGTTTAGGGAAGGATTAGCACCCCTACAACGCCCAAAATTGGTACTTTTTAATTATAAATTGCCTCTATTATTAAAAATATTAAAAATTTAAAATATATTTAATTTATAATTCTATTATTTCAAAATTATAAAAAAATATTTAAAAATATCGGAAAAGGACTTCTAGGTGCTTTAAGACAGCTCTTTTCTTTGATATTGATAAATTTAAAATTAAATAATATTTTTTTATAATTTTTAATTTTAAAATATCAGAATAAGACATCCAGTTGTATTAAGACTGTCCTTTTCTTCGATATTGAAAAATAAATATTAAAATAATTTATTTAAAATAAATATTTATTTATTATATATTTATAACAACATTTAAATATATAAACAAGTAAAAATTAAAACAATACAATTATAACTATATATTTAAAAGCAATAAAAAATACTTAAAATAAATGACTAAATCATAGTGAAATTAAAATTAAAAAACCTAATTCATAATTAATCAGAATTACAGGGATTAAACATGCTATTTCCTTATTTAATAATTTAGTGACTAAAATAAACTTATTTAAAATTCGAATATAAAATTAAAATAAATTAAAAATATAAACTAGGGATTGAAAAATTATTTATTAAAATTAAGGGATTAAATCTGTTATTTATCCTAAATATATTATTTTAATAAAAAGGACTAAAATAAATAAAATTAAAATTTCGAGATCAAATTAAAAGTATTATGAATTCGATTTAATGACTAAAATGTAAAGTTTACAAGTTCGGAGGACGGCGGACGGGGTTTAACTATTATCTAATTACGCGCATAGTCCTTCCCGAAACGACGTCGTTCGGGAAGGCCTATATAAGGTCCAAAACCGGTTGGCCCGAAGGGCCAGCTTCATTTCTTTATTTTTCCTCTCTCTCTCTTCTCTGAGAGAGAGAATTTTTCTCTCGCTTCTCTCTAAAACAGAGAGAAGCCAGCCGGCCGGCAACCGTCAGCTGGCGTTCTTCTGCCGCCGGCCACCGTCAAGACTGCCGCCGGCCACCACATCCGGTGGCCGGAATAATTTTTTTTACATTGAAATGTAGATCGGACCGTCCTAATGACGGTTCCGATGATCTTTTCCTTTAAACGGCTCCCGATCGGAGCAAATCTAAAAAATATACCTTCGGTTTTTCGAAGGTTTTGGTGAGATCCGGTGGTCGGCTTCCTCGGTAAGTTTCTCTTCTTCCTTTTTCTCTCTTTTCTGTTTCTTTTCTGCGTTTGTTGTTGAGATCGTTGGTAGTATTTGATTTCTCTGTGTTCTCGGTTTTTGTTTCTATCTCTCTGTTGTGGATTTTTTTTTCTGTTGTTCTTCTCTTGGTCTCTGTTTTCTTTTTTTTTTTGCAGGTTCGAGTGGTGGCTTTTATAGCCACCACCGGTGTGGTCATCGGACCGGTCCGAAGAGTGGGTTTCGGTGAGTCACCGGACTACCAGTGGTGACTCACCCCTTAGCCATGGCATGGACGGCTGGCGTTGGAGCTTCTGGAGCCTTCGGTTGGGACGTGGCGGCGGTGGAGGCGGCGAGAGCAGCAGCGGCGGCCGCGTGGCCCTAGGGTATCATACCCTAGGGTTTGTATCTGGAGCCATCTGGACCGTTGGATCTTGCCAGATCCAACGGCAGCAAGCTGAGGCGGCTGGGATTAGGGTTAGGAAACCCTAACTGAAACCCTAAATGTTTTTGGATTTCAGTTTGGTTTGGGCCAGAAAATTGGTTTGTAATTAATTATTTTTAATAATATTTATATATGTATTTAATATATTTAATAATAATAATAATAATAATGATAATAATAATAATAATAATTATTATTATTATTATTATTATAATAATAATAATAATAATAATCAATTAATATGAGTAAAAAATTAGTATCTTCAGACGAGATGCCATACATCAAGATCTTCCTAGAAAAATACCCATCGCGTTATTCCATGATCGGCCCCGTCATGCCAACCACCAATGGCTTCGGCTTTGTAAGTCACAAAGCACTCCTCATACACATAATTATCAGGTCTCTAGTGTTAAAACTTACAGGTGAAAATTTCAGGCATTTCCCAAGGGTTCATCCATGGCTACCGACATCACAAGGGAGATCGAAAAGCTAAAGCAGTATGGACGGCTCCAAATGCTGGAGAATGCGTGGTTCGAAAGCCCGACCACTGGTTTTGATTCAGGGGATACTTCGAGCAGTGTGAACCCACTTACGGTAGGCGACTTTCGGGGATTGTTCCTTATCAGTGGAACCTTCACGGCTTTAACCTTTCTCTTGTTCTTTGCTTCTTTGATCTACAAAAGCTTCCATATTATGAAGAAATGGGGACGACCAGAGATTGTGAAACAGTATATTTGTATGATCATTTTCAAGAGCAGAAGAGACGCCAATGTAACATACCCAGAGTTGGGCAATGTATGAACATCAACTTTATTCCATTCCATTGTATAGATTATTTTCAAGAAATTCCCTTATCGTTTAATCACATACTATACTTTGAATGGGCTGCATCATGTACAGATAAAAAATTAAAGTTGTTTTTAAGTATATATTAATTTTTTTATGTTTTAAGAAATGTTTGAAAGATAATTAAAAATAACTTCAATTTCTTTGTTGTTAAACAACCAATAACCCATAATTTGCTGTAAAATTATTTGTTACTTAAGCAGTAAAAAAGAATGATGCAATTTCATTTGCTTGAGTAGCGTGGCAAATATTGGGAAAGGAAACGCTTTGATTTCAATTAATTGTATGTCAATTAATTGTATGTCAATCTGATGTAACGCAGATATGTTACATATCTTCATTGGGATTGCTACTGTTTTCTTTCTTTAAAGGTCAAATTCTAGTTTTAGTTCGTTAATTGTGCTTCAACTAGGAATTTAGTTTTAATTTGATCATATTCTTATAGTATCGTTAGTTGCATGGATCTATGGATTTTTCAATATTATGAAAGTAAAGATCAATTATGTCTAAGTCTAAAGTACAGGATTAGATCTTAAATTTAAGTATAATAAAAGGATCAAAACTAGAATTTGACCAACACAGTTCGTTACTTGCAAGGGGTTCTATTTATCAAAAGCTGAAACAAACTCCCTGTTGTTTCCATTGCCAAAGTTTCTTTGTTTCAACAATTCCCTTATTCCAAAAGCAAATCTAAAGCAAAGCATCTGTCTTTTTCCCACCCAATTTTCTTCCCTAGACAAACAGGAAATAAGCTCCACAAGCAATAAAAAAATGGGGAAACCTGGGCCAACCTTGGCCAATTGGCTTCCTCTGTACCAGGAAGCATAAACCCTTCAAACAACACGACGACCCAATTTCCAAAGATTCAATAATGAATGAGTAAACTTTCATTTTCCCCCCCTTCCATTTTCATTGGGATCTGGAACCTTTCTTTTTTGTTTTAAGATCATTGAAGCTGTGAATGCATCTGTTTTCCAGATCAGAACAGCACCCGAAAGACCATCACACCAACGACGGTAACCCCAGAAGATTGACTTCAACATCCTCCAGTTCTTCATCATCAACGACAAGCGTTCACGTCACGGCCTTGGACGGTCTAGTCAATGTTAACTCCCTCTTCACCGTCGCCGTTTTCGTCGGCCTTTCTTTAACGACTCCGGGTCAGCATAGCCTAGAGAATCGAGCCCCATGCGACGCCGACATTAATGTCGCTAAAAAGCTCCTTGTCTTCGAGGTTGTCTCCTTCAGTTTCTTCCTCTTCTCGTCCCTGGTAGCTCAGGGTCTCAAACTTGCCATCAACTTGTTGAACAGCAAAGATGTGGATGAAGCATTCAGAGCCCACATTAACCTCAAAGTTCTGAGGTTTGGGATGATGGGTTCGGCTGTCGGGTCGGTTGTGGGGTGCTTGTTTCTGATGCTCTCGATGGTGAACGTGATCGAGATCCGGTTGGGGATGTTGTCGTGTGGGAGCAAATCTTCGGTTCATGCGGTGGCGTCGCTGGTCATTCTGGTTTCTTCAGCTCTCTTGGTTTACATTTCCACTGCTGTTTATGCTTTCTGGCACTGAAATAATAGGAAAAAATGGTGGCCAATATAAGACCACTCGTGAACAAAAACCCAGAACTCTCAGTTCCCAGTACACGTACAATTTCCATTACAGTTGAATATAATTACTCTTCATAAAAACTTTACAATTCACCTATTTCAATGGCATAAACATGCGTCTTTTACACAATGTTCACTAAAAATGATACAAGATTTTCAAGGCAACAACACCGTATGCTACTTTCCTGACCATAAATTTTGTCCCCAACCAAACAATGGCCATCTGATTGATCTTTGATCTACCATTTGCCAGTGACAGAGACTCGGACTGATTCACCAAACCATAGAGCTTACTTCATTACCACCCCCCCCAAAAAAAAAAAACCACCACCATGGTTACCTGAATGAATGTCCAATTAAGGTTATGATTAACATAAAGAATACTGTTTTACTGGAATCAGAAATCGATGTCGTGCGGAGAAATTAACTCTCTGGGCCTGATCCCTGCAGGACAGAGAAAATTAGAGATGTTAACGACAATACAAAGGGAAAACAAAAGAAATTACAGAAGAAACTAAACTGCATTGTTTTGATGTCATACTTCTGTAACGACGATAGGATGCCACAATATATAGAATTTTCCGGTAACAGAGCCTCTGATTGGTCGACCTCGGGATTCACGACGCTTATATAGGCTTCTTGGCCTAGATACCATGAATCGAGATTCTGTGCACGAAGATTCCAAATGCCTGCATTGTCGAGAGAAACTAAAATTGCTGTCCAGGCTCCAGGAAAGACCTGTAACACGGTATAATATTAGAAGTGGTCCATACATGAGATTTTGAACATATAGATATACTTGTGTAGTAGAGCGTGCAACACCATCCCATTTGTTGTACGTGCTTCTGCTATTCTCCGTCCATACCCCAAAATCCATACTACTAAAGAGTCGGAAAATTGTCAAATCCATGTATCCCGGCATCCATGGATAATGAATATCAAAAGCTGAGAGCTCACCCTACAACAAAGAATGCATAGCCATCCAGATGGTAACTTTGAACTGTGGTGTCATTGTTCTGAAAGATTATTTCCATAAAACCTTTGAAAGTGCCATTAATTAGAGATGTATCGAGTTTGTGCGGCCTGTTCATAAGTTTATTCGGAAAATCAAGCTTGTACACCCCAGGAATCTTGAACTGCTGAGCAAGCTTTAAAGGTGTTGAAGGTCGTAAGTCTGAAATACCATTAAGGGTCGTACGATGTTTTCCATCTATAAGCTCTGCAAGCCTATTGAGGATCACATACACATCTGTCACGGTAATTTCTCCGTACTTGAATGATCCTTGAGGGTTTGGACGTGCAGCACCGGCAGAGACATTCCACCTACAAATGCACCAGGAAGACTGAGATGAAGTAATATTTTTGACTACTTGACATTTTGAAGGAGAGGGTTCTTAAAGCATACAATTTTTATAGCAGCTCAAATGAACAGATAAAATGAGCTACAACCTTATTGACCGTGCTTGATTCATTGAGAAATACGTGTCGTAATCATTAGGAGGATCGGGAAGAGGACCTGAAGCAGGTCCCTGAGAGTTGGAGTAGTGCAAGATAGAGACTCCGTTAAGTTTGGACCAGTCAGATGAATTAACAAACCGAGGTACGATCCTTGGTAACCAAGGATGAGAACGATTGTCCCACATGAATATCCATGTTTGAGTAGTTTTTCTGAACCGTGTACGATCCTTCAGTCTCGACGAGAAGTAGGTTATGGCTTTGAATTCTGAAGATCAAGCTGGTAGAAATCCCGACATTGTGGACCCTAAAGCGGTACGTTTTTCCTGTTTCACGATACATCAAGTCTGCTCTAAAAAAAGTTATCAATAAACTGGTACTTAGGTTCAGATGTCTAATATATCGAATATCATCTATCATCCATCATGGAAGCAAGTAGAAATGAAACACATAATCAGGGACTAGCCAGAAAAAATGGAAGATGAATATGAATTATAACAATACAAGTATATTCCTCGAAGCTGCAACAGCTGCAAACCAAGTATTTATGTACCTGGTTCGACATTTATGATATGGTAAACAATCCCGTCTTTAACAAACGCCTGATCACAACGGTTTGGACCGAGTCCATTAATTAGGATACCATCAGGAACACCGAGGTCAACTCCTTTCTCGACATCTTTCCTTAATCCCTGTTTTCCACATGAGAAATCGTTTAGTACCAGAAAAAAGGTAAAAAAATATTAGCTGACAGACACCAGAATAATTAAGAAAAAAACTAAAAAATTTTGCAGACCTTATGACTCTTAGTATACCAGTCACTAATAAAGATAGTAATATCACCATCAGGCATCCCAAAGAGTAGCGGAATGACATCTCTGTTGTTGATGATGATTCCTCCATATCCACCTGCAGCACTTTTGAAGTTTAAGGGAAGTAAAAGAAACTACCTATCTGATCTTTGACCTGAAACTCATACGTCCAGCTCCAACTGGCAGGAATCGGACAATTAGTCCCCGAAACACCATCTTGCCAAGAGTTTTTCCTATGTTGTATTTCATTTCTACATTAGAATAAACACATTAAGATTAATATCACATTCTTTCACTTTTTGATATTTATCTCCTTTGTTCAATCCTTCATACCATGTAAGCAAAAGTGGCTCATCTAGATCATTCTTGACATTGACAACAACATTCCAATTTGTAGTGATGTTGAAGATTGGTCCAGGAAATTGCCCATTGATCCCTATCACCTGGAATTAGGGCATTAAATGTATGCATATCTAGGTCATAACTCATGGCATGATTCGAGGTTCTGAACAGGCAAGATTCCGATGACTAACATACAGATTCCGACATTATTGAGACAATATCTACCAAAAACTAACTGTATAGGGCCGGTAATATCAAAGACAGAAGCAGAAAAGCATTAACATGTTAAATTCAGATGTATGACTATGGCAAAATGCCATGCACTTGAAAAATGAAGTTTTAGAAACTGCAAAGAGGTAAGATACACATCAACCTCCATAAATGGCGAACAGAACATGCTTTGAAGTCATTTCCTTCAGTAGATTGAATTGCTCGGATGTTAACTATTACAACTTATCAATAATACATAGAAATTCCATCTTTGCTGCTAACAGTTTGGGAGATAAAATAAAATAGAATAGAATGCAACATGCTAAACAGCCTTAAAAACACTATCATTTTTCTTTTTAGAAAAAGTGCATATTAAGGCAAACAAGTTCAGTGGTATAAATGATACACCGTCTAAAGTTTAGTGGTATCTGGTGTAGTTTACCCTTATTTTTAAACTACACTGTAGCTTATCCATTAAGCATAGAGAAATCAATATCTGCAGACAGTTCAACATACAATAATCCAAGTTTCTGTCACCTTCTTAGTTCTGAATATGCTATCAGTGTTGATTATTTCTTTGCAGTTCAAGTACTGTAGAGTGATCAATGAGTGGTTTTCCAGACTATTTACTTTTTCCAACTACTTGGTTGATCCTTCCATAATTTCTACTGATTCTGATGGTAAAAGCTTCTCTTCAAGTCTAATCAGATAATACCAAAATCCATAGTCTATTTTCTTTTTAGCAATTACACACGGAAAGTCATTGCCATGGCTGGACCATGAACATCATCATGCAGGAAACTAGATTTACTGCATGAACATCACCATGTACTAACAATTGAATCAACCCCCGAGTGTTACGACAATATTTCTTTTCGTCTTACCAATCCATGAATATTAAGTTCATTAGATTTCTGCAAATATTATATATGTGTACACACTTTTAAGTTACATTAATTATTGTATTTTTAATATATTTTACTCAAGCATGTGACAATAAAACTAAAATTTTTAAATGAGTGTTAAAAGTATTTTAAAGATAAATTATGTAAATAACCAATTGACTATTAATATTTTTTTTATTAATTTTCGTCATTTGCTAGTTAAAAGTTATAAAAATGATCATTTTTCGGCATGTTGCTTCATTTAATTACTAGCTCTCTGTACATGCAACTTAAGCAATTGAGTTTGACAATCCATGAAGCTTGCAGACATGATCCATAAATGCATGAGCGACGCTTAGTACAGATAGAGGGTGCGGAAGAGCAACAAACTGAGCATATTTTCTCAACCGATTGGGGATGACCTTCTCATTTACATAGTCAAACGTAATTTCGCCTTATTGATCAAATGACGACGATGATATACCTGAATGGGAGCCCCAAACATCCCTACAACATCATCTGCTGCACCCACAAAGTAAGGTTGGTAGATTTCAACAGCCGATGCATGCACCTCAGTTACCCCACCAGACATTACCAGTCATGCATGTTCAAGGTCAACATGGCTCCGCCTGGTTCAACTTCCCCAGGCCAACCATTTTTTAATGATGCCATGACTACTAAAATGCAAAGACAGCCACTTAATCAATGCCCGAATTCGAGTACTAGTTTTTCACCAAGAAAACAAAATGCATATAGGAAATAAAATGTCACAAAGCATTAACGAAACAAACTCAATCAGCCGTCGTAAGATTTTAAAACACTTTTCTTTCTTTCTTTTCCTATTGAAAATTCAACGAAAATACATATTTTGACTGCTATCTTGCATGAACTAAATATGTAGAAAGAATTTCATCCAAGGAACACAAGCTTTTTGAAATAAAAATGACCAAATCGGACCATGACAATTATGATAATCCGAGTATCGAATATTAATTTTGAAGAAGACAAGTTCTGGAGTTGAAGATTAATCTAAAAATGATAATGATTTATTTGGATGTTTTAATTACTTTAATATGTTATATTTATACAAGGTGATGATATTATCTCTTAAAAAACAAGGTGTACAGTAGCCACTTACCAATTATTGATCATTCTCTCTGTACTAAAGCTGTCAACACGGTCTCCTTCTACATCTCTTCGCTTCACTTCTTTCTTATCCCATCTTCCCCTTAAATCCTTACCCTAAATTCACTCCCCCAATCATCATGCTCTAACACAACAGTACCCAACAACAAAAACAAGAAATGGTTCCTTTATTTTTTTTCATCCATGTTTCTTCGCTTCATTTTCTTCTTCATGCTCGTCAATGGCGAGCGGGATTCTATTTACGCGATCCTAAAAGCCCATGTACTGCCCACGGGGCTTCTTCCCGAAGGAATTACCCGGTTTGACTTCGACAATAAGGGTCGGTTCGAGGTTCATTTGGATCAGCCCGCAAGACCAAGTTTCAAAGCGAGATTCATTACGATAGGAACGTGTCCGGGACTTTGAGTTACGGGCAGATCGGGGCGTTGTCGGGTATTTCCGCTCAAGAATTGTTTCTTTGGTTTCCGGTTAAAGGGATTCGGGTCGACGTCCCGACCTCGGGTCTTATTTATTTTGACGTCGGTGTTGTTTTCAAGCAGTTTCCATTGTCGTTGTTTGAATCGCCGAGGGATTGCTTGGCGGTTCTGGATGCTGAATCCGGTGACTCGATTCGGGACATCAAATTGTTATCTAAAGCAATCTCCAAGGTTCAATTCTACTTCCATCACTCTTAATTGATTAACACTCTCAAATATAATCTAATTGAATAGAATAATTTATATATTTATTTTAACCAACACTTTGTAGAAACGATATGAACTTGATGAAGAAAGTTTTGGGAAGAACGATGTGTAGAAGCAATAGCTCCTCAATCAGTTTAGCTATATATAATGCAGTTTAGCTCCTCAATCAGAAAGTTTTGGGTCATGTCCCCCACAGGTTGTAAATTTTTGTCCAAGATTCTCTGCACTAGGTGGTCTTTTCACTCTTCCATCATGTGTGCTCTGCTTGTGTTTTCTTTCTTTATTCTATATATAAAGCAGTCATCGGCCGACGAGGTGACGAGGAAGGATGGAAGATTGGGAAGCTATAATTTAGATGATAATCATTGTTGAGATGGGAACGGCGATTTCAAGTGATAAAATCCGGTAAAATTTCATTCATATGTTAGCTTATTATTCATGTGGTTGTTAAATTGAGTCTCCTTTTGTTGGAGTTGAAAAGCTTAGATTGATGAGGCCGACAAGAAAACGTAGATAAGTGAATCATGATTCGATCTTCAATAATAGAACTCTCTTGGTTCATTTCATCATTTATTACTGTTATAGCATTTTGAAAGGCCTTTGTATGCTTGAACATGTTTCAGTTGCTTTACTGATTATTTTCGAATCTTGATTTCCCTGTTCATTGTATACCATGAGTCGTATTAGGGAAATGGAAGGAAAAAAAGTAGTCTAAGGGGCTTATTCTTCCATTTTTATGTTCAGGTCTAAACCTCGAGGGGATTGGGTTTCATTGTCAGAGTTTGAACTCGGGTTTGTGACTAACATTCTCGTCTCCAAGAAAGTTCCGAGTTTTATGTTTTTCCTTTTGTTTCCTTGGGCTTCGGGTATAGGTGTTTGCCAAATTGGTGAACTTTTGTGCACTACCAGGCTGTGATGTCACTACCACATGCTTCTTTTATATGCATGCAATGAAAGTAGGGAGATACTAATGAAAATAGCATGTTGTAGCATCTAAGTTATTAGCTTTTGGATTGGTTGATATCCACAACCGGAAATCACTTCACCATCCTCAATTAACCATTTTTGCCCCCTGGATGTAAAAGCATGAAGATTGCCAAAGATATGCAGCAAGCTAGCACTTCTATTTTTTGCATTTAGCTGCTTGTTGTCAATTGTTGAAAAGAAATTGGATGTGCCTAATCTTTAAGCACTCGAGCTTTGCGAATGTTCGAATTGGTCAAACCTGTGTAGAAACCATTGTGAAAAATGGGTCTGATCTGTCTTGATTTCCTGTATGTAAAATCTGTTGGGCATCATTGGAAAACAAGAACTCATTGGAAAGTGGACTTTTTTTTATTATTTTCATTTTAGACATTTTAAAACATATAATGAGAATCTCTGTACGTAATAATATCAATTATACAAAGATATAACATGAATATCAAGATTCTAGTACATGTTATCTAAACCTCTTACACATAGGGGTCGAAGAGCTTATCCTTCATTAATGAATCATGCTTTTCATAATTTTCAGTATAAATTTATACTACAACTCATCTCATCGATTTGTGATAACATGCCTATTCACTTATTCATGAACAATCATGTTTGCTCTTTTTTTTTTATTATTACTATACTTTTTATCATATAAAAATATGTTGACTTGATATTTGAAAACCTAATTATATAAGTTGTTTGTTTTATGTCGTCGTATATTAAGATGAATATGTCAGTGAAGTACGCGAGTACAAGGCCACAAAAGTGTAACATCAAGCACAGATCACGGATCGCGAGTCAAGCTTCAAAACCAAGCTAATTCTAGGTGCTTAAAGAGTATTGAGCAACGCTGTCATCCAAGAAGATCACGCCCAAGAGACCCAAGTCATCAAATAAATAGAGATCTAGTCAAGTTATAATTTAGAAATCCAAGGTGGACTTCGAGTTAGGGACTCCACCTTATAGTAGGAATACTTGGAATTATATTAGGATTTTGTTTTGTGGATAAGTTATTTAATCATAATTAATCGGGGAAATAGAATTTAAGTTCAACTAGGACACCATCGGTTGTAAAACGAATTTTAGAGACTTTCCACGCCTCAATTGTCACATAGAATTTCATAAGCAATCAAAGATCAACACGAGCATTGAGGCTCAACTCTCTCTTGCCGTTTTCTTTCAATACTCTATTACTTAGTTTCCATCGACTCTATCGATTCTATTCCTTCCAAGTCAAAGCATGTTTCAAGGTTAGGATCATCCAGGAACGTAGGCTGACTTAGGCATGTAGATAATGTTTTTGTGCCCAAGGCCGAACAGTTAATTTCAAGTCTAGTCTTGTGGCAAGTGATATCAGAGTGAGCATTACGAGCGCGAGTGATCAAGATGACTCACAAAAGTGAACTTGTTAAACAAGAAGGGTTGAGACTCATGTTGAGAAGTAAATGAGAGCAAGCTCGAAGGATCTTTTGTCATTCTTAGACAGAAAAGTCAATCAACTTGAGGGATCCGTGAGGGAAGCAAAGGAGACTCTTGATGGGTATAAACAATGCCTTGACAAGTATGAACAATGTTTTGGTGAGTTGGACTCTAAGGGATGTGAACTCACGGAAGGACTGCAAGGCATGCTCGACGAAACTGTTGGCAAACTAAACTAGAAGAATGAAGCGCTCGAAGTCGAGGTAATATCTCTTAAGAAAGAGTTGTAAGAACTCAAAGTAGATTTATTGCTATGCTTCACAATCTGGATAAACTTTGATTCATGTCATGCAGGACAAATCTAATCTTCGTTTGATAATAATAACAAATAAATAAAAGAATGGATTCATATTTTAAAATATAAAGTTCTTCATCAAATTCTTTATTAAACCAGTATGGGAAGCGAGGGGATTGTATGTCAGCTGTGCCTGGAGACGGAGGACGTGGAAGCTGCGATTTCCAAGGCCGAAATCGCCGGAGCAGTTGCGGAGGGGGAGATAAAAGAGAGAGGCGGTGCGTGCTGCTGTGGTCGCGTGGGAGAGGTGAAGGATCCCTTCGGATACGTTTGGCTCATCTGCTCCCCCTCCAACAATTGCGCGGTCAAATGCTGTTAAATTGAAAATTACATACCATTTGGGTACTATACATGTATTTGTACGAATAACGGGGAAGCGTCGGTCCTTGAGATGTCTCATGTCACAAGCCTGGGCTGATGCCTGACGTGGTGTGCTTGTTTGCATCTTTTGCTTACTGTCGTGGTGTTGCATGTTTGGATATCGTGGCTTTTGCTTTATTCCGTGTTTTGTGGTTGCAATTTGGTCTTCGTTGTTGCAAGTCATTGTCGTGGCCTGGCTTTTTCTTTGTAAGGTCTCTTTTGGAATGGAATCATCTGGGAAGTTTTAAGTAGCTGCAGCTTAATTTAATATTAAAAAAATGATAACTTTGCACGCAATCGAAAATATAATAAAAATCATAATATTTTAGGTTGGACACAACCTAAAATGCTATATTTAACCGAAAATATTATATTTTTCATAATATTTTTGGCTGACAACTGAAAATATTATATTATTCGTAACATTTTAGGTTCAACTGAAAATATTAGTAAAAAAATTACATTTTAGATTGCACCCGACTTATGATATTATGATTTTTATCATATTTTCGATTGTGCCCAAAATTATTTTTGTTAGCCTTAAATTACGATGTTATTATTTGATCATCTTTTAGAAAAATCTATTAGTAATAATTGGTTTTTGTAACGGAGTGCATTCATTATAAGATGGGTTTTAAATTAGTATATAAAAGAGGAAAAAAGATGGGCTTTAAGCTCATCAATGAAGCTTTCTTTTTAATATACAAGGGGAGGAAAAAGAATCTCCTAATTATCTAATTTTTTTTTACTAGTATGTGTAAATATAAGATAATATATATTCGAAAGATTCTCAATTATTTGATAATAAATACCGACACGACTGTAATAAAGAATGATCGATTCTTCAAATATAAACTTCCTACGAGGCTCTAGACATTTGAATATGTTGAATAGATCTTGTTGTTCACGTCGAAAACAAGAACAACAATATAAGAACAACAAATAACAAATAAAGATTGAAAAAGAATATTAAAGAAATATAAATAAAGAAGATGGATGGATGATAGAGAGATGGATTCTTGAATTCATGAAAGAATCAAGAATTGACGCTGGATAGATGTTCTGAGAATCCTACAAATCTTGAATGATCCGACGTTAAATGCTCTAATTGACCTATCTAAGATATATGATCTTGGCAACCTGAAGTTTGAAGATGGCTTCACCAAGAGACTCAACAAAGGAAACGTGACAAAAAATTATATGATAACCGTAAACGAGCTTAGATTAAGTATTTATAAATATGAATAAGTTTGAACAAAATTTAAAACTCAAATCTTATATCAGATCAAATTTAAACATTTCTATTAATCTCATACATTAATATGATTTAACCTACGGGCATTTCTAATTACGAGTCAATATTAGATTAAAATTAATTTTATTATCATCATGTTATTTTAATTGAAATAATATTGTGTTTTAAGTACATCATTTCAAATAAGATAGGAAAAAAAGTATGTAAACTATATCAACACAAAGGAAATAACTGAGGGCGTAAGAAGGGTAAGTAAATATAATAAGCTTCAATCAACTTTCCCTTTGGTGTCATCTCCATCATGATCTTCTTCAACATTCTCAAAGGAGCTACCATGAGCCCCCATTGAACCACCGACCGTGACCCCATGCTGAACCCTCGCCGCTTACCCTTATTCCCGAGCCGAATAGTGGTCCCCCTCCTCTTCCGTAGCCGCCTCTGTCCCCGACACCATCCAACCAACGCCGATGAATTCGGGAACATTGACATGGCCATGGAACCTCTTTTCATCATCATTTTTCTAAAACAACAGAAATGCTCTTCCAAGTGTTTGTTAATTTGCGTGTTGAATCCTTATATAGTGACTGTAAAGATAGAGCCAGGGTTTATTAATCATGATGGTCATAATGGCAGCAATTATAACAAATCATGATGCTAAAGAGAAGACGCTTAAAAAAGCTTAGGGTAAACTACAAGTTTAGTACTTAAACTATTACTTTTATTCCGCTTTGGTACCTAAACTTTATTTTTTTTTCAAAATAATGCCTAACGTTTAGTTTATATTTCATTTTGATACCCCACCGTTAAAAACTTAACGGTGATATTGACGTGTCATCCTAAGGTAATACTATGTCATCATTGAAAAAAATAAAAATATGTCACATCAATAATTTTATTAAGTTTTTAACAACTGGACATCAAAATGAAACTTATATTAAACGTTAGGTATGATTTTGAAAAAAATAAAATTTAAGTATTAAAACAAAGCAAAAAATAATAATTTAGTTACTAAACGTAGGTCTTATCCAAAAGTTTAATAATATATCGTTTTGAGCTTTGGGGTTGTGGTGGTAATGATTAGAAGAGATGGGGTTTGTGCAATTGAGTTCAAGGTTCAAAGAAAACTAGTAGATAAAGAGATAGCAATCATCATGGAACCCAAATAAAAGCCTTATCAAACGTTTGTAGTGGAAAATAAAGAGGGTTTTTCTTATTCTTTCGTTTCCTTTAAGCTTTAACTTTAGGTAATTAAACTTTTTTCCCATAGTTTCCTCTCATTGCTCTTAAAGTATTGTATTAATTAGGTTCTCTTGTTAACATAGCTATTAATTTAGGCATATTAATATTAATGTAGACTTAACATGGAATATATTTAAAATATTTGGACCAAATTGTAAAATATCCTGACTTAGTTTGATTGGGTTGGCTGGTTCATTTCGATTGATTTGGTTTGGATTGATTTAATTTGACTAGTTCGTTTTGGACTGACCTAGTATAAACCTGTTCAATTCGATTTGGACATTTAGGCCCTAACAGAAATGATGTATGCCTGCTAGTTGGGCCAAGTAAGATGGTCCAACCAACAATAGGTCTCAATACGGGCATATGCACGGGTACGAGTCGAGAACAGGCATCGGTCGGATGCAGACTGATTTTCAAGTGAGGAACGAAGTTCTCGCACAAGGGCGACACATGCAGCGCGTGCAACGACCTTCGATGCTCGGAACAACACTAAAAACTCGAGAATTGATTAAAATTACCTGAAAGGCCTCTTACTAATGTTGTTTTGCAACAAAGAGTAATGGAGGCACATTTCATGAACGACAAAAGCTCTCTCTCAAGTTTCACGATGGCAACGACGATGATGGAATCAAGGTCACCGGTTGACTCGGGAAAATGCATTGAAGCAGTTGATGTTGACGGTATAGCTCACGGACGGCAGGTCAATGAGAAACAACGATAAAAATTTGCTCCTAGAGAGAGAGACTCCGGAAGATTTTGGGGGTAAATGAGGAGCTTGTGCATGAAATTAGGTTTTATACCCCTATTAAATCGGTTCATTTTGAAAAATAACTTAAAATTAATCTCATATATCAAACGCACCGTGGCGGAAATGGTAAAGCATGTTAACCAAATTAACCAATCCTTTTGCATCCTATTTATGTCTTCCAAAATATAATGGATAAACTACATCTAAAGTCACTGATCTCTCTGTAGTTCACCTTTTAGACTCTAAACTTTATTCTAAATTTAACTTAATCCTTAATTTCCATAATTTCCCTTCAATTTAGATTTTAAACTTCAATATTTATTGATTTAGTCCCTTAAAACTTTTTTAAATCAACAAAATAATTTCTGAATTTCTAAAAGTTACGATTTTTGTCCCCAATTATATTAAATAAAGTTTTAGCCCAAAACTGAGGTGTGATAATATGAGAACTAATCTCTAGAGACGGATTTGAGGGTCATAATTTTACGAGACTTGTGTATCTTGAAAAGATAATTTTAAGTTATGTTCTTATGATTTTCTCTACGTTGAACCGATTGAATTAAATCATGGCATAAAAAGCTATTTACAATTTTAATAAATATTTAATCATTCTCTAATTGAGTTTATCCTCCATTAAACTGTGATACCAATTCTTGAAAGTCATTACAGGTCTCTGAATGTATCATTCATAAAAATTCGATTTAGAAACAGTAACAAAATCTATGGGAATAAATGCCAAACATACAGTCCCCATGCAATGTAAACTTTTAGGCTTTATATTCCTATCAAAGTCACCCCAGACCCTAAAGAAGCAACAAATTAGACATTAAACATATTATTAAAGCGTGGGCGTTTTCACCAAAGCTTTTGAAAGATGAAAAGATAAGAGAGAAAACTATTAGATCATCAATCACACATCTCTGCAGTGCCATTGTTGTTGTTGTATTTCTTTGAACCCGCCGGGTACTTGATGGCATTAAGTTCAAGTTTACGAAGAGCAGCTTTCCCGAGATCAATGCCACAGATATCAGATAGCCTCACCAGGTGAAGTAGCACATCAGAAAGCTCTTCGTCCACATGAAAATTTTCATCTTCTTTCCAATCGGGTAACCCTTTCCATTGAAATATCTTTGAGACTTCTCCCACTTCACCGGCCTATATGTGAATGATAATCATCGCAAATGTTCAATAAAGAAAATTATGTAATTTATCAGAGATATGATTACCAGGGCCAAAAGGAGATTTCTAGGGCTATGGAACTGATTCCTGAAACATACATCGAGCATAAATGTAGTGAAAATGATCGTTTATAAATACCTTCAGTTATTGGCTACATCATATGTCAAAATCCGGGATGTGATTGTACCATTGTCAAATAATCGAACCACCATCGAACACTACAAATTTAGCTACATGAAAATTAGAACTGCCAAGGATATTCTAAGCAATCGAAGCCTAGAATATAATTCCAAGTCTCTGATAATTAATGGAATTGCTTGAATTGATGTAATTACAATAATGGACGGTGCTCTTGATATTAACACAAACATCGTACATCTGAAGTGAGGAAGTGTAATTCAATTAAAATTGTTCTCATGGAAAGAAAGAAATAAAGAATATGAAATAATAATGTTTTTTCATAGGTCAAATAATGAGTTAAAGCTTGTTATTTATAAGTATAGATGAATAGTAAATAAGATAAAAATGGTTACCATAAAAATCTTAATCAATACAAATATCTACTTTAAGTAAAAATAATTAAGTTTTAGTATATTTTTATTTGCATCATCCAACAACTCAATGATGGGGTTTAGAAGGAGTGGCGAGGGCGAGTGTAGTGTTGGAGGAGTGGTAGGAGAAGTGAAGGTAGGAGGAAAGAGAAAAGAGGCGAAGGCAGATGGAGAAAACTTGGTTTTTTTTTTGGGAGGAACAAGCAGACGCAGAGCCCAAAAGGCGAAGCAAAGAAAAGGTGTGGAAAACATTCACAAGAAGCATAACCATAATATACAAAGTGCCAATCTTTTTGGATTTAATTGCTGGTGGTTATGGAAGCATAGGAATTTAGTCCTTTTTAGTAACAATACGATGATGATGATGTTGTAAACCTGGAGTAGAAACATTAAAACACTGGTGGAGCATGAGCGGACGGTCAAGAAAGATGGGAACATGTTGAGTCACCCAACCGGAGCATTGGACAAGTTTTAATGGATTACGACTTACATGGGAAGTCGATGTGGAGTGTGATCATGCAGCAGATGTATTCAGCATTACAAAAGTAAACAACTCCGAAAGCCATGATACAAACAAAGCATCAAAGTCAAATGCATGCTCACCATTACACAATGTTTATCTGCACGAGTTTATGTTAACGAGAGAGAGAGCTTTTAACTTCATTAATATTTAGGAAAGTCATGCACTAACAATTATATCCAAAACATTAACGTTTACTTTCCCTTTTTCAATTTTAATTCCTGAAATATGAAAAGTTTCGGTTCCATGAATTCTCAGCATGTTTCGATGTTTTCGGATAAGCAGACCAGGAAACAAAAAAAAAATTAAAATGACAGAGATCTTCAGTATATTAGACTGACGTGATAACCAACTACATCACAACATCACCTTGGCAGAAGCCTTTGAACTAAATTATTTTACTAAAAGGTAAACAACCTAACTGAATGAATTTCACGGCCATGGAATGGGGGGCCTGAGAGGTGTGGCAAATGGCAATTTAAAGGATGACTTGGTGTTTGGAACAGTAACGAAAGCGGTATTATTGAGAGAGGGAGTTTTTTTTATATAGGGGTCATCATTGGGCTTGGTCTAAAATAATATATTTAAGTGTTAAAACAATTTTAAAAAATAAACGCATATTTTTTTTATATTATTAAATTGAGAATAATAAATAAAAAGTTATATAACAAGCTTGCCTTGCTCCATGGCAATATAGGTTTATGGCTATAAATGAGTCAAGATGAGTTTGAGTAGTGTTCAACCGAATTTGATTTGAAAAATATAAAATTAAGTTCGACTCGAAAAATTACGAGGTTAAAATTTTCAAACTTGATTCGGACTCAAAATAAAAAAATTGAAACTCGATTTGAAAGTTCGCGAGTTTAAAATTTTCAAACTTAACTCAAAATCAAAAATTGAAGTTTAACTCGAGCTCGAAAAAACTTGAACTCGAAATATTCTTAAGCTTAGCTCGATTGAAGTTCAAAATTGAGTTCAAATCTAAACCTTAAGTATATGAAAGCTTGATATTGTATTTAAAAAACATATAAAATTTAATATTAATAATAATTTAAGTTAAAAATCTAAAAATTAATAAACTATATTTTTGAGTTGTTCACTAGCTTTTCAAGTCAGATACCAAATAATTTTTTTTGAGTCGAGTCTATTCAATTTAAAAGTTAATTAAACTTTAATTGAATTGATATCGAATAACTCATTATCTGGCTTAATTTATAAGCTAATATAAGTAGGCTTTCCTAAAGCTCATAGAATATAAGGGCTGGGCTTTGAAATGAGAACAATAAGCATTATTCTATAACTGAAACAATAGATCGCTCCCCTTCCCCATGTATACACACAATTCCGCTCAAGTCTCTCAGCTTCTTCGCTCTAGGGTTTACACCACCAGCCGCATAACCCCAGCAGCGGTTCCATCACCGGGTAAGGCTTTTTCATTCGAGTATCACTTAATTTCCTATATTGGAGTTTCATTTCTCGTATGAATATTCAAATGCCTTCCCTTTGCACATTGGCTTTTGTTTGATTCATTCGTTAATAGGAAGAAATGGCTGTCCCTTTGCTATCGAAGAAGATTGTGAAGAAGCGTGTTAAGAAGTTCAAGAGGCCTCAGAGTGACCGCAAGATCTCTGTCAAGGTTATAACATAACCGAATATCTCATCTTTCTTATCTTATTTTTTTAGCTGTAATTGGTTTTACCGGGTTCATTTTACCGTGATCTTGAACTCTTAGTCGGTAGATCTCCCTAGCTGAAGAACGTGATTTACTTTTCCCTTGAAATGATTTAGAGAATTGAGGTTATAAAGAACAAATATAATCAATTCGTGATGCCTCCATGAAGTCTTTTTTGCTTGCATAATAGAACTTGCTACAGGGGGTGCTAGTCCTTAGTATTATTTTCTGAATGCCTTGAGCGAATTGTTTTGTTAAAAGTTTTCAAGTTGATGGATAATCAGACGGCCACTGGTCTGCCGAATAGGTTTGAATTCATTAAATTTACTTCTAATTCAATGAGAGAATATTAGCAGAACTAGTATTGTATGCTTCTTGCTGTTTGTGTCCTGCATGAACACTGTTCACCATTAAGATCGTGAAGATTAGGTGTGGCTCCTTTTGGTGTGCATAGGGCAATTGATGAATCAATAGGTTCTTATTTTATTGGTTTTATGTGGAATAATATTTGTATAAAAACAATCCCTACCATCTTGTTATATATTTTTTTGGCAGCCCATGAGCGTAGCCTCAATAAAATTTTCTTTTTAACTAGGTGAAGCCAACACAAGTGTAGAAATCTTTTTGTCTTTCGAGTTTTAGATTCATGCTGGGTGGACTTTTTGGATAAATGCACATGCAACTTTATGATCAATTAGGACTCAGGATGTCTATCGAATCTCCGAATTGTTTTTCTGCTCTAGTGTTTGAGATGTAACAGCGAAGGTTGATTGTCCTTTTTGTTTCAGTGCTATGTTGAGATTAGGCTCTTTGCTTTTAGTCTCTGTCATGTTTAAATGTCCATGAGATGCTTCTGATTACATGTCATGTGGTCTTGATAGATACCTATGGCAGCATTTTGATGCATCTTGGGTAGATGACTTCATATGGGTAAAAACACACACAAATTGCCCCCTCCAATATTGTTAAAAGTTGTTTGCATTTTTGCAGACAAACTGGCGAAGGCCTAAGGGTATTGACTCCCGTGTTAGGAGGAAGTTTAAGGGATGCACTTTGATGCCTAACATCGGTTATGGCTCAGACAAGAAGACTCGCCACTATCTTCCCAACGGGTTTAAGAAATTTGTTGTGCACAATGTCCAAGAGCTGGAGCTTCTGATGATGCACAACAGGTATAATTCACTATAATATATGATGTTCAACACTTTTCTCATTTTGCGTTTTCTAGCTTGTTGCTGATTGTTACCACATTCGCAGGACATACTGTGCTGAGATAGCCCATGATGTTTCAACAAAGAAGAGGAAGGAAATCGTCGAACGAGCAGCTCAGTTGGATGTTGTTGTTACCAACAAATTGGCTAGGTTGCGCAGCCAGGAGGACGAGTGAGTATTAATTTTGCTCTCTTTCGTATGATATTTTGTTGTTTAGGAAAGATGCACTTTTGGTCCAATGTTTTCAAGGATTACTTTTACTTGAGTGTTATGGTGGAATATAAACCCCTTTTCTAATTTAAAGTATGGTTAATGTTTTGAGGGTTTTATTCTTTGACCATGGTTTTTAAAACTAGATTCACAATCGAATGATTATTAATATAAAATTTAATTTCAACTCTAAATACTAGTGTAATGAAATTAAATATACAAAGAACCTATATTGCATATTATTTCTATATAGAAAGCGAAGAAATAGTTTTTTTTTCTTATAAGAATAAAATACAAATATTAACATTTCATTGAGTTCTATGCAGCCCAACTTGAGCCTTCCAATTGTTTCCTTTCTCTCATTTTCGCTTCAGCCCGAAAGTCTAAAATATACCGACCTAATTTAAGATTAAAAAACGATGAAAATAGACTATAAAAAATGTTATAAAAAGCATAACATTTTAAATTAGTGAATCTAAAATGTTATAAAAAATAATAATTTTGTTGCCAACTAAAAATGTTGTAAAAAATATAACATTTAAGTTCAATTGAAAATGTTAGGAAGAACGTAACCTTTTAAGTTGCGTTAGCCAAAAATATTATGTTTTTTTATAATATTTTTAATCATACTTATTTTCGTCGTTTTTAACCTTAAATAATTAGGTTGTACCGTAAAATTATCCTCACTTCAGCATTTTCTTCGTCAAACATTTCTTCTTTCCCTTCCAATCACCTTTTCTTCTATAAAAATTTAATCATTTCCCGGAAATATAGGACCCAAACTTAAATATCAAACAATATAACTTCTTCTTCTATAGTTGTAATGTGTTTATATTATTATTTTGTTTTATACCATGTTTCATCTTAAAAATATTTTATGGGAAATATGGTTGTAATATCAAGTATATATCTACTATTTTAGATAAAAAAAATTGAATACCATATTACATATTTATGACAGTAAAAAGTAAGGTCAAACATCAGAACAAGAACCGACCGCATTTACCTTCATGCTAAGTGAACAAAGAGAAAAACTCACATTGTGGCTTCACTGTAGGTACCTTTTCCCCCTTCTTCATTGTCTTAACTGCTATTGCCAATGCAGGACAGAATTGTCCTGTTCATATAAAAGAAAACACACAGGTGCTTTGGGATTTACAGGTGACATTATAAGACAGCCAGTTGTATGTTGCACAACACTTGAAAGCCAAGGAAAGGAGGTAAATATCATAGCTTAATTAAATAAAGTAAAAATGTATAATCACCCGTTCACTAAAACAAAGAAATATAAAAATTCACCTAAAATATGAAGATGTAAAGAAAATTTACATTGTATACCACAAAAACAACAATACTCAGATTGCCATTTGGTTTAAAAATCAAGAAAATAAGGAGAAAAAAATCAAAGATTTCTGGTGTTTGTGTTGGGAGTAGAGGAAGCAACCAATTAACCTGTATCATCTCTTTATTTTTAAGCAACTTGCAGTTTTAAAATCACACTCTCAATACTTCATTTTCTAAAATATGTTTCTCTACAAATCTGACGTTGTCCTTCTGATTTATATATTGCTTCCCAGTGTTGACTTGGAATATGGGTTTCAGTTTACAGGCCATTTTTATAATACATTGATCAGCATAATTTTCTAACCTATGATGATGCAATTATATTTTGTTAACATAATCAAGAAAATAAATCAAATTTTAATCGGTTCGACCTGAAATTTAATTGATTTGAGTTCAAATTATCTTGAAAACAGAATGATTTGAATTTAAATACTCTAATAAGTAATTTAAAAATAAAAAACTTTATTAAAATGAGAGTGGACCTATTAGATACATGGGAGGGTTTTTTTTATACATTTAATTTATATATAAAATTTGAATATTTATAGAATAATTATGAATTGTCCATTACTTTTAGATTTTTTTATTAATTTAGGGTAAGTACAAGATATATAATATATGTTTAAAGATAACTCTCAACCTCTCGACATTGAACGCTCACACCCCTGATATCTATAGTAGTGGAACTTAAATGTTTTCTAAGGTCTTCATATAACATATTATTATTATATGTTTAAAGATAATGTTCACACCTCTTATTAAAATAGGGTTTACCAACTCTTCTGTGTAATTGACTTAAATGTTTTCTAGGGTCTTCATAAAACATATCATTATTATGTAGTTATTCATTTTAGTTTTCATCCGAATTTCCATGAAGTGAAGCCAAACTACTCCATATATATATATATATATATATATATATATATATATATATATAATACTACGCGTGAACAGATCATCTCGCAAGTTTCAACTGTTTATAAACTTATCCCAACGCATCACCTTGAAATTTCTGCAAAAAATGGAGCTCCTGTAGAAAACTGCTTCATATCTTCTTCATTTCATTCGCTCAGATTCTTTTCTTATTTGCTCTCATAACAATTACCTTTAAGATGTTAGCGATCCTTCTGAAGCTCGTTTTTTCCATAGTCAGCACGTTAGCGAACCGGGTGACTTTGTTGATCTTCAGCACCACGGCATATTGTCTCGTGTTATTGATCCATGCTTTCAAGGTGCCCGGCGAGACCCTCCATGGCGCATTATTGGAGCAATTAGCCTAAGCGATCAGGATGTGTTTCGAGTACTTCCTGGACCTGATTGTAGAGCTGACGGGATCTCTTATCTCATCCGGTTTTAATCTTTTGATCGATGCAGTTACTTCCTCGGCTTCTGTTTCCGGGGCAGCTTTTGGGAAACTCGTTGAGAAGACGCGGACGTCGCTTCAAGAGTTGTTGACGGGCTTGCCGGAGATCGCTGAGGAGTTTTCAGAGATGGTTTCGAAGGTGGTGACGGATTTGTGGAATAATTGCATGCAGGCTATGGGATATGTTAAGGAAAATGTTTGATTGTATAAGGTTTGCTTGCTTGTGTTTGTCAAATTTTTATAGTAAAATACTAACAATTTTGTCTCCAATAACTAAAATATACCTCCAAATGTCCTTGGTTTATGCCACTGAGCAGCCCTCTCTTAACTATATAGTGGTTCACCGTTCACGACTACTATAGCATCCGTTATATAACGGTAAAGTTATCATCCAATACCTTTATTACATGATCGAGATATCCTCAATCATCATAATAACGTCTACTATGTCTGCAATTGTGATAAACGCAACGAAACCGAAAATACGACCGCAGCCACAATTTAAATCTCTATTCTTAAGTGTTGTTATGCTTCTCCGCTAATTATTGAACAATCCAAAAACGTACCGGTAATAAATAAGAGTCTCACCATCAAATTACCGGCGAAAGGAATAAACATAATGTATCAGACTTTAAAACAAAAATTCTGATTAGATTCGATCTACGAACTAATCTTAGAATAGATGTAAATTCTAAGAGAAAGGAAGTATGAATAGAAAAGAACTGAGTAAAATGAAGATAGAACATTCATATAAGCCGAGACCCATCTCCTCATCAGTGGCCATTCATCCAAAATTGAAAGGATGAACCATAAATCGTTGACTTAATCACATCTTTTATCGTCTTCTAAACCATCATATACTATGCATCTCACCTGTTGTACATCAATATTGGTGCAGTGAACGTGGATAGAACCTACTAGCTAACATAACCAGTCAAAAATATTTAGCCAACAGAAAACTCAAAATCAGACTCTCAACTCAAAAACATACGACGAAGTATAAGAAAACCAACATATAGACTATTAGGTCTGTAGATACTCGATTTGTCCGGGGCTAGGTGGGAGCAGACCCGAAGCATACCAGTTGAAGGCCCAACTCAAGCCCAGTAACCCTGCAGAGCAATTTCCAACCCATGTGAATACTCCCTGGAAAATAAAAAAAATTGGTTATCGGGAGTTAACAAAAAAAAAGGTTTCGGTTTTCATAGGATAGAGGAGGATTTAAAATTGGAGAGTGGGCAGTTCTCAAGGGAAAAAAAGAAAAAAAGGAAGCATTACTGGCATTGGGAATTTTTTCAAGGCATCACAAACAAGGAAAAGAGGAGAACACACAAAGAGAGGGGGGAACTGGCAGAGTCTAAGAGCCAATCTTCTACTTCTCAAGAGAAACCCGAGTACTCTTTTTCATCTATTTCTCTGTCCATCATTTATATTTCTTAATCTATTTTAGCTTCGATTAGCTTTCGCTCTACTTTTATGAGTTGTGTTTGTTACGATTTCATTTCTTTACGACGAACATTCTTCTTTCTTTTCGATGTTTTAGCTACTGGAGAGAAATGGATTTGAGTTTTACTTGTTGGGTTTTGTCTTATTTGCTACATGACATTGCGTTTCGGTGATATGTTTCCTTATCGTTTTATCGATTTACATTTTGCATGTCAACGATCAGTGTGATGTATACGCTTGTAACCACATAAGGCTGGGAAATTATGAAATCTGTTCATTATATTCTTTATCCCTCCCGGGTTTTTGTTAGTCCAGTAAAACACTTCAAGCACTCTTTATCAACTTGTAAAATACTGGCTTGAAAACATGTTCTACTATATTCTTTCACTGTTAAAAAATGTGCATGATTTGTCTTATATAAACGCATTTTGTTTTGATCCTGTGTTCTTTTCTTCCCCACCTTGCGTTTTTCTGAGTCCCATTATGCATATGGGTTCAACTCTAGAGAATCTAATAAGCCTTAATGAGTCAGTGTTACTAGGATAGCTTTGTTAAGCTTTCAGTCAAAGAGTCTATGTATTGGGACTAGGGAGGTGACTGTGTCTAGGCTTTTGAACTGTTATTTCTTCAAAGAGTATTACTCGAGTAAAAATACACTGGAGCTGACGGGTTTGTGAACAAGAATGAAAGTAAGAGCTGAGGCAGGATAATGAGGTTTAAAAAGTACAGCTTTTCATCGTCTATTCTAGTCTTTGGAGGAAACAATGCTTGGGAAATGGGAACTAGCTATCATGGAGTCTGCTATTGTGGAATCTCGTTCATAAACCATAACATTTGGGTCACTCTTTTGGTATGGAAACATGTCAGGACTCTCATACTGAGTTGGTTTGG